CTCCAAATTTGTTTTATTCATTCCCTTAAAAACTAAAGTCAGCAGTAACTTCCTTTTCCAGTATGAAGCATTTTTCACTACCAACTTAGAATTAGGGGTGGGATGACTCACTTTTCTGTGAAGTCTCCTCTCATAAACACATCGCTTTGGCCCACACAAAGATCAAATAACATCAATGCTAACAAGTGAAATTTAGAGAAGGAATGAACAAGCTTATTCATTCCCTTAAAAACTAAAGTCAGCAGTAACTTCCTTTTCCAGTATGAAGCATTTTTCACTACCAACTTAGAATTAGGGGTGGGATGACTCACTTTTCTGTGAAGTCTCCTCTCATAAACACATCGCTTTGGCCCACACAAAGATCAAATAACATCAATGCTAACAAGTGAAATTTAGAGAAGGAATGAACAAGCCAAAGCCTTCAGCAAAAATATCACTGCATTTTGCCAGTAAGGTAATCATCTACTGACTGATCAATAGCATACAAAAATGAGACTCTGAGGAACCCACCTGCATATCTCTGTTCTCAATACCAACACCACTTCTATTTCTGCTTAATTAGTTACTGGTCTCCATTTGACCCAGCAAACACTGGCATGACCTGTCAGCTGCATGAGCAGCAAGCTAGACTGCCCCAAAAGCTTTCATCTGAATTTAATCTAGCTTCTGTATAAAACAGAAAAAACAAGTTTCAAAGTACTCCGGTATCACATGCATCACTTCAGCCTTCTGACACTTTTCAATACACTGTGAAGTTCGAGGATACGTGAGCTACCGCACAAATAACAAAAACCTCTGCACCAAAAAAGCTGCACTGGCATTTTTCATCATCTCTACCAAGGCCACAAGTGCCTGGTCACCATACACCAGCCACAGCTTTCACCAAGAGGTCTGAGCAGAGCCACCTCCTCTGACTTCTCAGATGCCCCTGCAGCCACAGTGCAAGATTACTGTTTGCAAAGCCACACAGGGCACTCAATCGGGTTTTTTGTCACTTGTTTTAAATTAGGCCCACTTTTACCTGTGTCACTTCTACCATGTGGTCTTCCCTGGCTCCCCACGCTGCCAAAGCAAGGCACCAGCATGTGTTTACAGTGGCCTAACTAACCTGATCTGGAGTACTCTGAAGTACCAGCTGGCCAGCTACACTGAATAGTCTGGAAAGAGGGTTGGGATGGGGGAAGGGAGGGACTAGCAGTGGGTCTCTAAAAACAAATGTAAAGCAAAGCAATACATGTTTCAGTTTACAAAGAACATGCAAATTTAAAGCAAGCATGAGACTAAATTCAGCTATGCAGTAAAGCTTAGGGTGGTGTGGAATAAAGCACTGTAGACTTTGTACTCACCTGCCTCATTTTAGCATGGATATAGAAGCAGGAATAGCCCAGCTGGGAGATCTTTTTGGCTAGCAATTCAACCCGTTGAGAGGAGTTGCAGAAAATGATTGACTGGTTAATCTGGAGCTGAACACATAAGCAGTGTGCTCAGTAAATGCAGCATTTTACCAACAAATAATCTCAGACATGTCTAAATCCCTTCCAGAAAGAAAGCACAGCAGGTATGCTGCTGGTAATTTACACAGGATGTATATTTGTACAAGAGGGGAAAAAAATTACGAAAGTTCTGTAAGACAAAGGTGCAGGACAAGCATCATGCATTTTTAACTTTAGCTAAACAGCACATTTTGACAAAGAAAAAGCATTGTTAAGATGTCTTTGAAACACTGAGTCTTACTCTCAGCTCTGAAATGAATAAAGCTTCTGTATGTTCCTTTCTCAGCCCTACTCCTTACCCTGGAGAAGAGCGTATTGAGGCAGTGCACTTTCTGACGCTCAGTGACATAGGCATAGTACTGGGTAACACCCTTCAAAGTCAGCTCCTCCATCAGATTAATCTCATAGGGTTTCTGCAAATGGGAATTCTGAAAAATAAAGATAAGGATAAAGCAGGCAGATCTACATGCAAAACAATGTATGTACTTCCCACTCTCCAGTACATTTAACTTCCTCCATGGCAAGGATTCACTACCTAGCCACTCACTCTTTGTGCTATACCCAGAAGAGGGTAAAATTTCACACAGGATTACTTATAAATCTGAGGTGTCTGAGCAGGCCTAACAGGAGCACCCTCTGGAAGCAAATCCATGCAGATGACACATAACTGATGAACAAAGTGAAAACCAGCACTTTATGGGCAAGAACTATTCCTACCTAGCTTCTGATTAATGCTCCTGTGGGTCAAGAACTGTTTTCAAACACCTGCCCTAGACAGAGGCTAACTGAGATTAAATCTGTGAAGTTTAGATGCATTACCATCTATGCAACATTCATTCATGTCTTTCACACCACCATCACAGGTACAGAGGGTATGTCTGCACTCACCATGAACTTCTGTACGCTCAAAGGGAAAGTGGCTGAGTAGAGCAAAATCTGTCTGTTTTTAGGTAGCGTGAGAATAATGTCTTCCATTATTTGAACAAAATCTTGAGACAGCAACTTATCTGCCTGTAACAGCAGAAGTAACAAAAAGTTAAAATAATCACACAAGATTTCAGTCTTCTGGTAGTACCACATTTAGGGGAAGGAAAAAATCAGTTATCAGGGTTCCTATCAAAAGTCATCCAAGAACTTTAACACAACTATGTTCTCTCTCACTCAAAAGCCTATACACTGCTGGATGGTGATACATTGATTTTATATACAATTACGTGGAAAACACAGTTCACTCATTTTAAACAGAAACCAAATGAAATGCATTCCTTTGTTTCAGAATAGACTGTTACACTATTCCTCAGCATCATCAAAGAAGACAGAAAAGGCAAGTCTTCCTAGACTGTTTTCTTAAAAGATTCTCATGCAGAAAAACACTCCTGTCAAAAAGCTTCTCAAAAATACTGAGAAATGGATGAGCTATAACCTTACAGTTTCCCTAAGCGAAGTTTGATTTGTGGCTGTGCACGATCAGGAGACTTGCTGAGACATATCATTGCTTTAACTCGGTGTTAAAATCCCAGAATATTTAACATGAGCAACTTGCCTCATCCAATACTATCATCTGGACATGCTCAACTTTTGCTACTCCTTTCTTGATGAGATCGAGAATTCTCCCAGGGGTAGCTATCACCACATGCACTGTAAGGTTAGAAGAGTAAAGAAAAAAAAACACAAATGGTTAAGGCGACTGAAACATCTTTTCTGGCACTCACAGCCACATTTCATATGAACAGTCTAAAAGAATAATGATAGCATACCAACAGCAAACAAGATCTATTGTAGCCTGTTCTGTAACAGGTAAACAGTAACAACAAGCAGAAATTCCACTACCACACTGAAAAAGCCACAAACAAACAGCAACTGTAGTGTAGCAAGCGCTCCAACCTGTATCATCAAGCCTCATTATGTCATCTCTCAAATTGGTTCCTCCCGTTGTTGCCATCACTTTGGCACCTCCCATGTGTTTGCTGACTTGGATACAGATTTGACTGACCTGCAGGGCTAGTTCACGGGTGGGAACAATCACCATTGCTGAAAGTTAAAAACATCAGTTTGAGTTACTAGTAACATTCTATGTTAACAACTCATCCTTAGAGGAAACTTTACAAAAGCTTCTGGATATCCTAAGCAAGACCTAGGAACTTCTCAGGACCAGGCAAATTCAATACAAGGGTTCTCCATCCCTCAGGGCTGCCTTCGTGCGAGTCCCTCAGCCAGCACACTTGCTTATTACTCGGAATCCACCAGGGCATGACAGCAAAGTCCGGAAGACATTTTCCATTTAAAGCTTTTGAAAGCAACTATGTAACTTTTCAAATTCCACCTCCCTCCAACCATTCCCCACTATCTCTGGAAGAACAAGCAGATAATCTACATTGCCCAGTTTCATTAACCAGTTTTAGATTCAAGTCTGTTGCTATGTAGCAACTGACACCTTTACTCGTGGCAGCTAAGTGAAATCCACTCCAACTGACCTTGTATATTGTCCTTCTTTAAGTCTAGCCGTTCAAGTAAAGGAATGAGGTAGGCTCCACTCTTGCCTGTTCCATTTTTTGCTCTAGCCAAGATATCCCTACCAGATAAAGCAATGGGGATGCTCTCCTCCTGAAATGCAAGGACAGACAGTGCATGAGCAATCAATCATAAGCCATGCTCACTGAAGAGGCTGGCCAAAGTTAACTCTCCCCACTAACAGTATTAAATAAAATCCGATTGTTTCATGAAAATTATTATTCTTCTGCAACCGCATCACCACGGACTCAAAAGTTAAACCTATCAGTAAAGAGTTCCCCAACATATCCTACTTAGAACTCCTAACCTTGCCTGATCGTAACAGAATCAGGGATCAGGTACCACGGGTATGGTAAGCCCATACTGACACATTTGGCAAAAAGTGAAAAATTGGGACCAAAAAGGTGAAGAGACAATGACAGACAATTCTTCCTACAGAAGATTCCCACTTATATCTTAACATCAGAACCACTTCAGCTCATGTGATTCAAACCTGCATATTCCTGTGATACACTTCTCATAAAACCGGCAGGCTTTCCTTTTGAAACTTCAGCCAACCAAACACAGGCCCCATGTATTTTTCACTTTACTGCCTTTTACAGCAACATCTGAAGACATTTCAGCCTTTTGGAATGGTGGCATTGTGAGAACCTGTTGTAAAGCATAAAGCCATAGCTTTCTCATGCCATAAGGAAATAAGGTGGCAGAGCTATGCCAATGATAACCCTGCAAAGACAGTTTAAATGGAGTTCAACCTATCCCCTGCCATGAAGTCTACATATCAACATTTCTTAATAGAACAAACTTTAAAAGAAAGATGGAGGCACAGAAAAGCAAACTTGCCAATATATTGATCTCTCTCCTATAATCTCCATTATGCTTGTTTCAGATGCTTACAATAGAAAATCCAAGACTCTGATAAAGCCATAGTTATCCTTGCAACAACTAAAGGTATGCAGCCTACAGTAACTCAGTTTTCTGGAAAATTTATAGAACAGCCCTGTTCTCACTGGGACTACCTACATGAAGGATGTTACTGAACAGAGGATTAACACAGCAACACCTCCAGCCCGAAAAGGAATATCCAAGTTAACTTCTTCAAAGTGTTAGTCAGTCCTATCGCTAAGTCACCCACTGCACGTGTTCTACCAATCACAGCCCCAGTTTTCCCAAATCATGACATAAGTACCCAATGTTTAAGCACAAGAATTTCAATACATTTCTAAAAGTTAAATGCTGCTTATAAATAGTATGCTTGCAAACAACCTGAATAGGAGATGGTTTTTCCCAGCCCATTTCAAAAATTCCCATCAGCAACTCCCGTTTCAAACAGTAATCTTCAAATTCGTTTCCTTTTGTGGAGGTCACGTCCTGAATAGTCAAGAAAAGCACATCCATGGTTAGGTCATACAACCTGCAGCTGTAAGTTGGCCTGAGACTGCCTATGCAAAAAGACCACCAATTGCTATACACGACTTCCCACTGATCCATGCAACACCCTACAGTGGTTTTGTCAGTCAAACACAGCTCTGAGTGTACAATGACACCTTCCCATCTGCTTCACACAACACACAGATGACCCATGGGACCCACACAGATGTGCCATGCTGTAACACTAAAAAAAGTAAGAAATCCACAGTGAACTCTACTTTTGAGCTTTTCAAGAGAAACATCTCTCCCAAGCAGTTGGAGAACAAATTAATTCTTCATTTAAAACGGCAGGACCTGAACTCATTTTGACCCTTTGCTCAGGACAAATATTTTGACACTGCAGCTTCTCCCACCTCTCTTATTTAATGATTATTCCTACAATTCACCCATCCTTACCGAAGTTTTGATTCTCAAATCCTTAGGAGGGAGTTTTAAAGTCTTCTTCCAGTCGTCACCAGGTCTACAGCAAAAAAACCAAACATTTCAAGTAAGTCTGGATTAGTATTTTTATTTTGCATTTTATGTTCTTAGATAGCGATGAACAGCTAATATTTTCACCCTCTCAAAGCTAAAGCGCCTACACATATGAGCTCAAATCTTCTCTGAGCTAAGCAGGATGTATCAGGCAGGAAACTGTAAACAGAGAAAATCAGCGGTGTGCCAAACACATTTGTGAAATCTTTATCCAGTCATAATTCAAGTCCCATTTTTAGGGCACTGATCAATCTGGTAGAGCAGATTTAAAACTGAGCACTGACTCAATCACATAACAGAAACTTTCTATAATAAATCCACATGAGAATATTTCATTACTTAAAAGAGAAAAAAATTCTCTTGCCCAGGAAACATCCATTCTTAATCCCCAAGTAATGTGAGAAGGTAAAAAACACTTCTGGTGAAAAAAATCAAGTAAGCAAACACTTCATTTGTTGATTAAATGTCTTTTACTCTCAGTGAGACTTAGACACCCATCCTCTCTTGAAAGCCACCATACACAGGAGAGCAAGTCCTTCTCTTCCCTAATCCCAGGAAGCTATGAGTTAATTTTGATGAGTTTAACTCACCAGTTTTGCTAGAGTAACCTATGTAATAAAAAAGAAAAAAAAAAAAAAAAAAAGGGGAGGGGGCAAGTCAAGCAGAGTTTAAGAGCTAGAATGCCCAGTTAGGTGCTGAGGACAGGTGGCACTTCCTTCGTAGACAATTAGCAAAATAAAAGGGAATTGCAGTTCAGGGGGATGAGGAGCTCTGGGGGAAAGAGAAAAGGAACACATTACCATATCATCCAAGTCTTTTTACATATTTCAGAATGTCCAACCAGCACACTCACATTTTATTAGCACACTCCCAAAACCAGCTGGATGGGAGTAGGGTATCACAGTGGTACTGTAGGATCTCAGCTCAGGCTTTGATGAGTTAGAGCCAGAGCACTACACTGAGGCGAGCAGGCACTACTATTGCAGATCAGTGACAAGAGTGAACTGACTTTAAAGCATTTCTCATGGTGATAAAGAACTGCAGCAAACTGAAAAGCACACACACCTGGACTGAGACCAGGTAGCAGTTCCTTCTCTGTCTTAAACTCCCGTTCAGTTCCTTCCCACCTCCCAGCTTCCCTCTCACACCACTCGCGACAAGCAAAGAACACAGGATTCGGGTGCTCAGGGGCTACCCCGGCACACTGCTCTCACTCAGGAGAGCACAGCACCAGATTCAATGTTACAGCACAGCCACCACCGTCAGGGGAAGCTCTCACATACAAAAACAGCCTCTGCTCACAGCACCCAGCACACTCCGAACGGTCAACATCACAGAACAGAAGACAACTTTTCCAAAGAGCAGCCCAAAAACACTTCTCCAGGAGTGACTTTCAAACACTCCTTCTGTGGCAGCCGATACAAACACTTACTTAATAGCGGTGGTCATGCTCTGTGCTTGCTGTTGAGTGCCATTATTGATTGTGTTGGCATTTTTCAGCTGGTTCATCTGTTGCTGAGTTTGTGTGCCTCCACCTCCTGGGCCCCCGCTGGGTTTTACGGGGCCTCTCAACTGCCCATTCTGACTGGATAGACCCATTATAACAGGGTTCTCTGTTCTGGCCGTGCTCATGCTTTTATCTTTAAAGATGTCTTTTTAGACTTCAAAACTTTGAAAGTCAGTACAGAAACTGTAATAACAGTTTATTAGACTCTCCAAAATGAAGAGATAAATAAGTCTTGCTCAATATATGAGTCCTTTATTGCAATGCAGGCAAGCACCTGTAAGTCACTCAAAAGTAAAGTAGTAACTTGCTCTGATGCACTGTGGATCAACTTTTTTTTAAAAAAAAGCCCTCTAACAAAGTTGAGTTAAATCAGAATTCACTTGCTTCGATCTGAAAGAGAAGCAGACAGAAACAATTAGTGTGTGGGTCTTTGTCTATGTAAATCACATCAGTTTACCTTTGTATTTTAAGAATCACTTCTTCCCAGGCAGCATGTAACAACAGGACTAGATTTCCGTGTCCCTGGGGATAATCATCAAGACATATATCAAGCTTCATTCCCCTTTCTGTACAGCTGTGCCCACATCTTCAGTCACCAAGAAAAACCTCCTGCACAACTGTACTTCCAGCAAGTAACTGTGTCAGAGATACTACTTGCCCCTCCCTTAACGTCACCACGAACTGTACCAGCTGCTCTGACAGCAGGAGACCTTCCCCCACTTCTGGGATGCAGCAAAGCAGCCCTAAAACGCTAAGCAATAATGTTATGCACAAGTCTGTGACAAGAAGCCAGATCACAGCACCAAGGGGACATTCCAGTTAGAACTGATAAAACCCTTAAGTTACTCTGATTGCCTTTTTCACTTTGAACGCGAAACAGAAGTGATGTAAACCCAAAACAACAGCTTACCCTCCTCCAACCCACAACATTAACTCAACCAGCTTACTCAGAGTTTTGAGCTGGGTATTAATCAAAGGCCATTGGGAACAGCGACACCAACATCACCATGCTGAGCTGGCAGCAGCTCCTCTTTTGAGCAGCAATGAGGAACACAGTTACACTAGGCAAAGAGCTTCCTGCTTATGTGCTCCATATGACATTAGCTTCCAGCTGTCAGCAACACCTCACCTTGTGCTCAAAAAGATAACATTTGGTACACATGACTCGATATTGACTCGGTACGGAACAGAAAGGTTGGCCAAACTGTGAACACAGAGACACTATAAAGTCTGCCCCTTACACAAAACAAGCACGGGCTGTGGCTAAAAGACTCGTTAGGATGGCGTCAGGGAGCCAAAGGGAGCCAAAGGGAGCCAAAGCAACCCGGGTGCATAATCTTTTTGATCAAAAACTAGGCTTGCCTGTGCCCTCTCTCACCACAAGGCACCTGCGCCTTGGGAAAAGGCCACAGAGAAGCCAGTAGAGCACTGCTGCCCTAGCTAGGTGCTCACAGCGAAATGCATGCTTCCCCAAGGCATTTCACGAGGACGGAAAAAGGGTTCAGGCTCTTCCCAGCGGCCTCCAAGAGTGTCAACACACAGCACAGCCGTGAATCTGCAGAACTCAGATTTGTCTAGTAATTATATTTCAAGGCATCTTCAGCAAGAGGTTTCTCCTGGCCTCAACTTCGTGGAAAAACAGACGAGTCACAAGAGTAACCTGAGCCACCAGCGCGGCCTGGAAAGCAACGCCGAGGTGTTCTTCAATGCCGTGGGAAACGAAACCTCCCAGCCCTTGTGCCCTGCCGCTCGTTACTGCCCTTCTCAGGGACAGAGGTGCGGGACCGCGCGGCCTGCCGAGCCCGG